ATATATATAATTATATATATATATATATATATATATATACCAATCAGTTATACTAAGAGTAAGTTATGCGATTCTCTTAGGAAAGCGCTACGTGATTATCACCCAAGTCTCTTATATTATCACGTTGGACAGCTATGGTCGCTGCCTTGATTTTCTGGTCAAATACTTTCTCTTTCTGTGATGCACGGGTACGGTAACTATTGTCTTGTGTCCTACATTCAATTCATGCTCATCTTCAGAAGTCCATTTGTTACATTACACTACCGGAATATTATATGAGAATTAAAGGAATAACCACAAACAGTGACTGGCCAGAATTTGGTCAGGGTTCCTCGATCACAATGCCGAATAAACGAGTTTTGTGTAGAATTTTCAATTTCACAGTGGTTTGCATTTCCAAAAGTTGCTTTGAATAGCGTAAGCGAGCGTAATTCACGTCGTAATTCCCGTCAATAAGATTATGAAAGTTTGTTTTATAGCAGTAATAGTGCCCAAGTGTGTTTTATATCACTTCCATCAACTTCTCGACCATGCCAACCATTCTCAGCCTTATGTTACTTCTAGATCACAATTCGACACTGTACGGCCGCTACACGGCCTGTTCACACACAGTAGAATATCCTTGAGCTAAAGTATACCACATACGCGATCGCAGGGACGGCGGCAGTACAATTAAGATGTCTTCCAAACCCGCAACAACGATACCTAGCACAAGCAACCACGGCCTATGTGGCGCTACGTCCGATGTCAAGGACCCTACCTCTCCACAACAGCATAGCTGGGTGTGAAAATGGCTATCCGTGTCATGTATATTTCTATCTCTATCCAACGGTTGCCCAAGTTTGCTTCGCATATTGTGGTAGTCACACTTGCTGTCACTTCCAGCGCCACCTACTGGCAAACAGCATTGCTTGTGGACGCGTATATCCGAGCCCCTTTCTTGGGCTTCTAAACATGCGCAGCAGCAAATAAATAGCTGCCAAAGACTACCCGCGTTCTCAAACGCCATCATCAGAGCCTCGCACAGATGCTCCATCTCTGAGTGTGTCGTTGCTGTGCTATGTGGCTCCTCCATTACCGTATCAGCTTGCCTGTCCTCGTTCCCAATAAAGCACGGTATCTGCATTACACTATCCTTGTTTTGATCAGAATCTGCAGATCGAGGTCTTTCTCTCACATGTGTGTTTCTGCCTGTTTTATCTATGGTTATATTTGTATGTGTGGTTTGTGTGTTTAACTCCGAATGTTTGCTGTTGCGTGTGTTTGTGCTGGTGTGTGATGTGCGCTTTGCGACAGCCGCGTAGTACGCGACCAGCAGTGCGAGCCCCCCTACAGCCCTGGGTAGAAGTGTCGAGGGACACTCACACACCAGTTTAACAGTCTGTGTGGTCAGCAACATTCTTTCCCGCATATCTAAACTGTCCAGCCATCCGTCATCCCCACTGCACTCTATGGCTCGGTCGTGCAAGTTATTGTATTGTACGGCATCTCCCGCTAAACAGACGGCAAACTGACGCTCGTACCTATTCCGCAGGGCAATCAATTGTTTCTTGACAAGTGCGAAACTTGGTTTCTCGCTAAGTCTCTCGTCATGTTCCAGGGAAGGCAGGTCATTCTCCACATGACAGTCAGTGCATTCTGTGCTATGCGTGTCTTTTGCTACACACGCACTTGATGTGTTGTATGCCCGTGAGCTTGCACTCGGGATACGCTGATCGTGAGATATTGCATATAGCAACCTTATCAAGCGTGGCGTGACGCTAACGCCAAATAAACGCATAGTAACGGGAGAATAAGCATTGATAGCTCTCGGCAAACTCTGTGCCTGAACGGAGCTGGTCCCGTGGGATAGATTGCGCCTGTTATTATCACTACACGAATCAGAAGCTAACTGAACTCCCGCTCTACGCAGGCAGCGGAAGAGTGCTCTGGTCTCAGATGGGTGGACCAGCTTGTACAGCTCGAGTACCAAAGCAACCCCTTCGGGGGGGTTATTGAGGGTCCTGTCTGGCGCACCTATACCTTGCCCGCTCTTAAATTCAGTCTTTTTCAAGCGGCGTGCGTCTAGACCCATGCGCAAACAGAGTCTTTGTGCTGTATGCTCATGCATCCCCGGAGAGTCTATGCCCCGTTGAATGCACACGGCAATGTATTCTGCGGCACAGAATGCTAACCTCCGCTCTCGCCTGAGCATAGGTACATTGCTCTTGTTCGTGCTTGTGTGTGTGTGCGATTTATCAGTGTGGGAACTGCTGGCAGCAGCTGCAGGACATATGCCAGACGGTTCTTTCTGCATTTCTGTGCTGTCACACAAACCTTTAGCGTACAGTTTAGCTGTATGATTCGCATGATCACACACCGGCTTCCCCAGATGTGATTCATGTTTGCGGACGTCAACCACTTGAAGCAGGCCTTTGATAACGATTAGTACTTCCTCAGCCAGCGTGCGCACGGCCACGGGTGTTTGCATGGCGGTCTCAACTATCTTTGTACAAACCTTTGCTGATTGCAACAGGATCTCTCTATAGTCTTGTACAACCACTATTGAACGTGAACATTTTGCAGATGTTGCTGACCTGGAGTTGGCGGGGATGGCAAATGCCGCTCGGTCCCCATCGCACATTCTCGTGTCAAGAGGAGCGGTAAAAAATCTGGCAATGGGTGATGTACGATCATCTGACAGGGGTGTGCTTGCGTTTGAAACGTGCACGTGAGGCTCAGGTTGTGCACGTATGCCCGAGCATTCAGTGCCACAGGTGATCCGCAACTCGCCCGCCAAACCCGTCACAAAGGTTCGCAGCAATTGCAGCAAAAACGCCACAGACGAGAACCCAAGGATTTGTACCACACTATCTTGTAAAGCCGCAAGTATGACATCCAGCAATTGAACGCAAAATTCGGGCGACCTGGGTGCATGATCCAATGTATCCTGACTAGGCGGAGAGTCCTTACTGTTCGATGAGTGTTTATATGTATGGCAATGTAAAAGCTTACATTTGATATCATTTTGGACCAAAGCGAGCGCGAACTTGTATACAGTCCCCAATAACTCGTCGGGGGGCACAACAAACGATAACAGCTCAAAACGTAGCACATTCAACATCACGTCCAGATATGCCATTTCTCGGCGACTCAGATTTCTCCTGACGACAGAATTAGATCTATCTCCTCTGATATTCACGGGGTATGTGTTCGTATCTGTTCGTGTATGGGCTGATGCAGAACGTGCCTCAGTATCGTGAGCACGGATAAGTGATGGAGGAGTTTGTTCTGTGTTTATAATTCGATGATGTACAGGCACATCAACCACCATATTAGTCCTGAGAGACATCACTACGTCTGCGGCTGCTGCTGTCGCCCGTGCTGGCGACGTGAGATTGATAGTGTGTTGTATCTGAACGTCGTTTGTACTATCGCGTCTACGCTTGCCCAAGGGTTCAGCAGTCACTACGGAGCCACTTATGCGCCGTTTCGCTTGCATGTGTACTGTGCTATCCTCGAGCTCCCTACCATCGAGTGTAATAATATGCAGCAGGACATCCGCATAGCAATCAGCTGTGACCAAGGCCTGATCAATCCGTACCCAACTACCAATGTCTGATGATGCACTGTGTTGCGTATGCGATATATCGCTGTATGCAAGCACAGGAGCATGATTAGATGCTGATCGAGGGAAATGCAAATCTCTGCCTGGTTGTGTGTGTGTGGAGGCGTGAGCGTAACCATAGTATCCTGTCGCCAGCATTCTGTTACGGAAGTCGTCGAATATACAATGGGAGTTATACGCATGGCAGATGGCCGATACAAACTGTGCCACACTCTGCATTTCTTCTTCACTTGCACACACTGGAGAGGACATGTTGGATCTATCGAATCATAAGTATTTGTTGGTCTACTTGCTGGAAGGTAAACGCAGGACTCAATAGATGCAAGCCATGCAAAAGCTTGTATTGGTATATATACAGCCCGTACTTCTTAGCAGTAAGAACAGTACATAAGAAAAAACCCTTCAAAAGTCGTTTGGATGGGTTGTATTTCGGTCCGGCTATGCCTACCGATGGTAGAACAGCAACTATGACGTCGGCACTGGCTACGAAATCACTAGCGCATCGGATAACATTGGCACTGCTATAGCTATAGTCATATTAAACATAAGAGAGTATATTGAATCTGCTGTAGGATCACTCTTATGATCTTGTATGTGCTCGAAGGAGTGTAGTGCATGTAGTGCAATGTATTGCAGAGTGTGTACGGAAAATGCTATTGCACCACTATCGAGCTAGTGAAACAGGTATTGTAAAAATATTGTTTATCAAAGTTCAATCAGGTCTCAGAGATCTGACGTCACGTGGGGACGATGGTTTGAGCAGTAAATAAATAATTATGTTCAGTAATACGAAATGCATACGTATGGGTCGTATGCAGATGTGTATTTTTCGACACTCCACTACAAGACCATTGCAAAGCGTACAGTAAAGCGTAAGGTAGTAGTAGTACAACCGGTCTATATTTGACATCTAGCAGGTCATATAAACGGCTTGGCGTGAGTGCTTCACAATTCATATTCTCGACTTCAAATCGCAAAACAGTTGAGCTTTTTTTCATAGCTACACAAGTACGCCATTAGAATACTGTAAACACATATATACGCCCTAACATACACTTACTTATTTGCACGGGAATCTATGTAGACGTAAGTTCTTTCTATAAGTGCGCAGTATCTCGCTAATCACTGAGACGATAAGAGCGCATTATAAAATAGCATCATGACCGCATCGCACCGTTCGTGGTCTAGCGATCAGGTTCGGATTGAGACAAATAAAACGCTTGAAACAACAGGGGGTCATACATGGGAGGCAGCAATCAAGTGAGCTTATATATTGTTGCGTGTGTATGTGTGTGTGTATTGATGTACACGTGTGTGTATTTATTGAAATATGGTCATATACATATGCATGATCGTTTTCTTTGTTGTGTATGCATCTGCTATATGCCTGCGTATACCCTGTGGTTTTAACTGAGATATGCATTATTATACAAGAGGCGACAACAAAAAATTAGCTACAACTGAAAGCATTAGGTATGTCTTGTACAAAAGAATTTATGAATTAGGTGTGCTGTTCAACTGGCGAACAAGACGCTATCTAACTCTGTCGGCAAACTACGATCAAATTGAGGACGAAGTCGCCATACTACCGCCCTTGCGTTCTAACTTATTTCAAGTTTATGCCACACCCAGCGCATCACTAGACGCCACCTAATATACTGAAAACCCCCTCATGGTTCTGTTTCACATGCGTGACCTTGTTTTTGTTTGGATGCCTCGATGCGCTCCAAATCGTACCTTCCGGTGACACTCAAGGCCTCAATAAGTTGGGCAATTATCGTATCGGAGCTTCCGGCTTCCTGATTGTGTTTTATATCTTGCATCTGTATCAGGCTGTTTGATTTTATTGGCAGCCAGCAAGAAATATGCGACCTCGACCGAGGCAACGAACGACTGTTGGAACTTGGTTCCGGTACCGGTTGGCTAGGGATCGCACTAACACTGAACTTGCCTAATATAGGTATGTGATGAATCACAGCAAAACTCAGTATATCGCTGTGCGATGACTGAATTGCAACATACTCTATGCCAATGAACAACCCTAGAGTGGTCTATCACAGGATTTGTCTTGTGCAGAAAAGAACTGACGGGCAGTATGGAATACGCCTAGCGTGTACGTCTGTTGCACGTGCGTATGCACAAGTGTTCGATTAAACGACATCACCGCCAGTTAAAAACCATGGCGCGTAAGTAGAGGATCGTTAGCTGCTGCGCGTGCATTTAAATGTAAGTACATTATTAAGTGGTGTTAGCTTTGTCAGTTAAATAAGGTGTATGTGCGACAGTCTGTGGCTGGCATGCATCAAACCGAAAAACACAGCAGCCTCTTGCACTCTTCTCAACATCCGAAGTACGTATATCTAGATATAAATGCGTCCACTCCTACTAAAAGGCATATCTCACTACTCCCAAAACCTCGCAGAATCCATTACACTCACTGAGCAAGCATGCGGAGGCGCCCTGGCTTACCTACAGGATAATGTCAGCAAGCACGCGCATTTACTCCCACGCACCGATGCTATCGTGACTGCCACACTTGACTGGACAAAGCCTTTGGATAGTGAGCTGGTGCAGGCCTGTGGTGAGGGGTCGTTAGTGTTCGGATCAGATCTACTGTACAATTCTGATGGCGTCGAGATGCTGCCAAAGGTATTGCAACCGAAGTTCAAAAAATTGTACGTTTTATATGATCTGTATGGATAGCGTCACCGCAATCCACGACGGTTGTGCAATAGTCTCGTCTCGAAGTAGAATAATCTCGCACCACCACATTATAATTTATAGTATGCTGAGATTCTTACATGCACAGTATTGTATTTATTTGCGGCAGCAGGTGGACATTCTCTCCCCTACTTTGGTAAAACACTTTATCTTAAAGTATTCTACCGGATTCTGCAATCGCGTTTTCCACTTTCAATATGGTGGCAATTATCAACATTTAACTGCCATGATATACTTTCGTTTAGGTTTTGGCGGCTTTCTGTGCAGCAGGGGCAACTGTACTATATGCGCACACTTTGAACCGGTACGAATTCTTTGACGCTGACTTCTTTTTTGCGCTGCGAAGAGAAAATTTGCTGGTAAGGTAAGGTGCAGGTTGTCTTGCGCAATACCGTAAATTCCAATGTCTTCCTTATTATAGTTCACGAATGCGGATGATGCAAAGTCTACTTATGAGGATCCCTTGTACATTTATCAATCATACATGTTTATACAACATGAACTTCTATATACAGAGAGCTATGGTGTGATACAGAACCCCCACCAGAGTACACACACAGCGACGAGAGATTCTGCAACGCCTTTCCTAATTCGCGAGTGGCAATACTTGATATACGTATGGGTACGCGTTCGAATTCAAAAATTGATTTGACCACGAACTCGCGGGTAACGATATTAAATCCTGTCGAGATGCCTAGCGGTACCGAGAACAGCGCACAGCCTGATGCCTTACGCGAGCAAGTCATATTGTATATGGCGGACAAGGTTGATCAGTCGGCGTGCGCAAATTTACACACAGCGTCCTGGAAATCTACGTACAGGTGGGTAGCGTGAGACGCAGAAATAAGGATGTTGTATCATAGAATGTGTGTTGTGCTCGTTTGCATGAATGTGTTGTCCTATCAGCGTTGTATCTTTTACATACAATTTTATGCAAAAACTCTGCTATACTGGAGTATGGCCACCATGACTCATTGATACAATTTTTTGCACTTTTCTCCTACAGGGACATTTTGCCGCATGACTTTCTCTATAACGGTGGCGTTGAAGTGATGATGAATGACATGTGGGCCGATAAGTATCGATCTCCTACCCAGCTCACAATTGCTGCAAGGGATACTTTTGGTCAGATGCTGGGATTTGTACATATGGATGTAGACGAAAGTATGATTGATGTCAAGAAAGGGTTCTATCTGGATAACATGCACGTGGTGGGTACAGGAAAGGGACTGGGCTTTCTTTTATTTAAAACATTGGTACAGAGGTTGTGTCTCATGCACCGAATCTCATTGGGGTGTATCACGAACAATGGGAAGTATTGCCATAATGACGCAAACAGTTCTGTTAAGGTTTTTGAACAGAAGCATTGTACTGCGATAGAGACTGCAAATGATCAGGTTAGTTCACAGCAAAAACAAACAACAAAAACGCACGACATGAATGGACGAGTTTCGTGCGGATGCACAGACCGGCCGGTCAAACTTTGGCTCAAAGTGTTCGAGAGCAATACTGCGGCGGTGCGTGCATACGAACGATGGGGTGGTGTAATCAGTGACGAGCGTTTGAAATTTAGTGACCAGAAGCTAGGTAAGATGTGTCTTGAATCCAAGAGAGATAACTCCCCAGAAAATTCAACGGGAAGTGACCTGACTGTTCTGGTAATGACGTGGTCGGACGCACGATCTGTTTTCTTGTAAACGGTAAGTTGATTGAATTGTTCATTAATCAGCTCTACTCTCGAGAGTTTACACAAGCTGGTTGAATATTGAATGGTCCATCTATCCGCTAATTTTAACGAGCTCCGTATTTTTAAAAATAGCATCCTCACTCCCTGAAACCTGATAAGTTCATCAGATGCTACCACACAAGTGCGTCAGAGGACTCAGAGCTGGCACCGTGGCAAAGCTGGTGGATCTACTCCCTACTAAATACTGCAATCCGTGTGGCTTATACAAACCACAGATTGCAGAAGAATGTGCATATTTGGTTTTAAAAAATATATAAAAAATCGTCCATTGTCTTGACTCACTTGAGACAGTTGAGTTCTTGATATTATCATTTTGAAAAAAAAACAGAACCAAAAATATCTACTAGTTTTTATCATGGCCCTCTGGATTTCAGGATTTGGCCCTATGGGTCTCTGCTAAATTTACGATTTCCGCTACCTCCATGATTTCTCGAATCCAGATTCCAGAGGGTCAAGTTTTGTTTTTAAAAAAAGCAAAAAGAGTCTATGACTGCCATAGCCGTGTGTTTACACTACATAGGAAAAAATAACGGACTTTTACCCAGCCCAAATAAAAATTTGTAGTTTGTTTTGTTATTTGAAACAAAAAAAACACAAATACACAGTCCGCCAGCCTCCTGGCTGCCATTATGAGTCATGATGAGTGCCAGGCGCCAAGATGAAAAGCCTCCGTACACAAATCAGCTCCTGGCCCTCTGCTGACTGCTCTCCCTGGCTTTTCTTTTTTGCTTTGGTTTGTTCTGATTTTTTTATCGGTTTGTTATATAAATATACTTAGGTATAGCATTTGTTTTTTTGAAGCAAACAAAAAGAGGTTACAGTACATAGCTCATCTATAATTTATGTTATTTAAAAAACAACAACTTGATAGTTCTACGTATTGATTTGTTTGTAGGAGATCTGTGATATGTCAGTCGCCAAGGCGTCAACTCGTCACTCGTCTTTTTAAATATTTAAAGTTATAATTGAGAAATTACAGAATATGTACTTGTGGTATTTAGTTGGCAGTTGGTGGAAGGTGTTGCGGAAGTAGGACCAATAATATTACGCTGAGTAATGTTTTTATTCAACAGTCCAGAGCCCAGCAGACAGTGTCCGAAGTCAGAAGTCAGAAGTCAGAGTCTCAGAGACTTAGACTCTCAGTCTCAGATTCAGACTGTCAACTTGTCAAGTCAAAGTATCGGACTGTCAGTGTCGGACTGTCAGGCCTTATTAGACAGTAAATCCGATTATTCCGATCCGAACGCAAAATTTCTTTTAGAGAGAGGGTATGCCGGTATGATGCTCTCGAAAGTTTGCCCTCGTTAGGATTTATGATCGATTTTTTTTTTGAGTTGTTTTGATTTTAAAATTAGCCTCCATCCATTGGTGTACCGAAAATCCGAACAGAAATATTGATTTTTTACACCATAGCCATAAGCGAACTGATAACACCACACATATTTTTATTGTTTTGAAAAGTATTTAAAAAAATTACAGTATGTATACAGTGTACACCTAAATACATAGAATACAAGCCACAAGAAGAGAGAGAGAAGGCTCATGTGCCGTTGCCTGACGTGCTGACGTGCTGCTAAAGAAATAATAATACCAGTTTTGATTGTATTTTATGTTTTTTTAAAACCCATTGTAACAGTCAACGACTCCAGAGTCCAGAGTCCAGACTCCACAGTCCACAACAGTCCACAGTCCACAGTCCACAACAGTCCACAGTCCACAGTCCACAGTCCACAGTCCGGTCCACACTCCACAGTCCACGGGCTCACGGCTCCACGTCCCATGAGTCCACGCTCCGGTCCACGGGCCATTTTTTTCTTCCGAGACTGTGTCATTGACTCACTGCGCAGTGTAAATTGTTTTTTCTTCTTCTCTTAAATAGTCGTGGGAGGAGTGTGACGGAATTCAAAACTGAAAAGAGATGACTAAATTCTAAAGTCTTCACACGCCCACGGTGAAGAACTGAAGATATTTATCCACAAGAAGTACTCCACACTCACTCTCTCACAGTGACCAGTTGACCACACTGCACAGATTGGCAGAAGGAACAAACAGATTGGATAACAGGGCATCTGCACATTTTCTGATTTGTTTTTATTTTAAAAAATAATAATATGTGTATAGACTTAGCCTTCTGAAAATAGAACAAGAAGGCTATGGCATAAGTAGATACCAGTATCGATACCATATATACTTCTTTTTTATTTAAATTGTAAAAAAATATGAGAAAATACGCGGGACGCAGATGAAAAAGAACAAATTGAAAAATATTCGGTTCTTCACACGCATAGAAATAGCGGCGTTTCACTTCGATATTCAATACAACCTTACGCAACTGTATTAATAATAACCTTTAATTTGAACATGTCCCTTCTACACTTCCTAACCTTCGCGGCAATTAGCTGCACGACTGTGCTGTCAGCCGCTCCTGAAGACATACAACAATTCGGACCCGAGGCTTCTGATGTTATTGAAATTCCCTCCGATATAATTGATATTCCGTGCGATCTAGCTGGTCTACTTTCTGAGGAACCTGAGCTTTCTATTTCAGCACAGTTGTTAGAAGCTTATACTGCTGCCACGGCTATCGAAGTCTTACAATACCAAACTGCATTCTTGCCTACCAATGACGCCTGGGCTGCCGCGCCAGAGGGTACAGTCCAATCCCTGCTTCGTCCAGAGAACCTCAACGCATTAGAAGAGTACTTGGCCTACGCATCAACATATGAGTACTTGCTTTCAGCTGATTTTGTCAGTGGCGATCTTGAGATGAACAACGGAGAGTCGATCTTAATGGCGGTGGAGGTGGATGGTTTCTTCATTGAGAACGGAGTGAGGGATTCACAGGTGGTAATTCCTGACATTGTTGGGTGCGACGCGGTGATTCACGGAATGGACATGGCACTTTTCCCTGGATCACAAACCCCTGCTGATATTTAGTTGATATCCTCTCGGGTCACGCTCATCTTGGTGGTCACACCATTTGTGTAGGTTATACAGTGAAAGTAGAGAGTAAGCATACAGTCGTTGGGCAATGTGCATACATGAAACGAGCAAGAGCGTGACTTCGCATGGAATGATCTGTTGGCACACACATTGTACCAGGTACTGATATGACAATGTGCTGAGCCCAATAGAGTCCGGAGGTTTGATTGACTTCGCATGAAATGTGATCGTAGACACACATTGTACAAGGTACTGATATAACACAATATGCTGAGCTCTATAGAGAGACCCGAGGTTTGATTGACTTCGCATGAAATGTGATCGTGGACGCACATTGTATGAGGTACTGATATGACACAATATGCTGAGCTCAATAGAAAGTCCGGAGGTTTGGTTGAGACGGGGAAGGAAATTAGAAGAAGAAATAACATTGGAGGTATCACTATTTAGATATTGAGTGCAGACTATCACTCGCGTCGACTGACCAACGCTTGTAACGGTGCCGACTTTAACATTGTTGACCCCATAGGCGAGGAGAGAGCGCTGTAAAGTATATTGATTGTGTAACATATCGCAGATCGATTATATATTCGCGCAATCACGATCCCGATTATATGAATAAAAATGAAAGCAAAATCTGAGCTGTATGTATGACAATTCTTTCTCCAATAGACCATAGCCTTCTGAAGTTTATTTCAAAGAGAAGACTATGAATAAACACGTTAATTGGCCCACTCTCTACAGCCTCTCTAGTAGAGACTGGGGATATTCGATTTCCGCTCTGACAGAAACCTGATTTCCGCTCGAGACCTAACCCTAACCTAGAGGTCCTATGAACTGACTTTAACACCCCATCCATATACTAAGGGGACTTCTAAGGGTTCTTGTATACCAAAAATAAAGTTAGTTATCATTCGCCCAGAACCCATCATTATGGTCTAGAGAGCTTATTCCTTCTACTCGAAAACACCATTCAAGTGCATGCATTGCATCAATTCGGTGTGCGTATTAAAATATATTGCTTCGTTATTATTTTCAGACTTTTGCTATACTTGCATAAGGCGGATGACATGGCACATCTCATACAAACAACAGCAAAAACACTCAACGTCGTGTTATATAAAATTTATTCTCTCCCTAGAGAGAGACAGAGGGTCTGAGACTCATGACGCCGTCTCTGGAAACGTCGCTGCTGGATACAAATTATTTTTCCCAGCCTCCCTCAGGCCTCAGCCCAAGCCTGAGGTGTGCCCTCACGGACCACGGTCTCAAGTCTCAAGTCTCACTCTCAGAGTCTCACCCAGGTCCCAGTCACAGACATAGAGAGTCCAGAGCTCCAGGCTCCCGAGTCCCAGCCCCAGTACATACGAAAATCTTCCAGAGCTCAGAGGACAGAGTCCAAGACCAAGCCTCCAAGGTCGCTCCAGAGTCCAGAGTCCAGACTCAGAGAGAGGGCCATGGTTTATTCGATATGAGTCATAAATATATGCGACACAAGGCGATGACTCACACCTAAAATATATTTTATGATGACCGTTTCGTGATGGGTGCGAATACAGCGAATACATAAATTAAATACTGAAGATGTCAGTGATTATCGTATCTGTAATGGGACTATAGATGCTAAAAAAGTAAAGGAGTGAATACGCAACATGAATATATTACACTGTTACAACTACATCCCGGTCTCATATTGATTCCTTTCACTTTTCACCTTCATACTACGTCCGGGATGTACCCTGACAAGCCGCCCAAACGGATAGTGGGTCCCGGAGGACGCATGGTGGTCAACCCAGAATGGAAGCGTTGGCGCGAGAATATCGAAACTCAAGAAGTTGAGAAATACGGATACGAGTTTGTCCCTGCGGGCGCTATATACGCTAACGGTACAGATACAAACAATACCCTCATACCTGTTACCAATCACGAAGACCACGCTGAGATGGTGAATAGTGGGTGTCCTTATCCCTTGGTAGAAGAGGTGGGTGATTTGTACAACGAGATGCGCGAGCCTGATTACGCGCTCGAGATTGGGGGCGACCCACAGGCTGGACTGAACGACCTAATCAGCGCTAACTTCGCCAAGTATGAGCTGAGTCTGGCAACGTTGAGTAAAGTGATGCGGCTGACTGTGTATGATCAACTAGAGTTCATAATCGATGATAGCGGGTCTATGGGAGCGTGGAGTGATACCATCGATCCGGTAACTACACAGAAACACACTCGGTGGACAGAGGCAAAGCATAGAATCAAGCAGAAACTAGATATATTGAGCCTGTTTGCATGCCCCCCTATCCATTTCCGCTTCATGAACAATACGAGGAATAATTTCAACGTGACTAGGGCAGGTAAGTCTCCTGAACAGTTTAAAAGAGAAGCATTCTCATTAGTAGAAGGAGCCTTCAGGGCGAGGCCTAATGGCGGGACGCCAGCTTTCACCACACTACAGAAGAGCTTCGATGAAGGCAGGGGCAAGAAAGTGTTTCGTTATGTGTACTTTGATGGTGTACCTAACGAGCGTGTTCGGAATGCTGAGGAAAAGATAAGAGATTTACTCTTAGACCCGAGGGATCGGGGAAACCCTGAGGATTCGCCAGTGAATTTCTTATCTTGTACGGATGAGGACGACTGTGTGGAGTGGGTCAAACAACTGGAGGAGGCAGACATGTACTGTGGCGGGCCTAGTTACTTGGCCGAGATTGATGATTTCGACACAGAAGCGAATGAGGTGTTCGGTGACCAGGGCAAAGTGTTCCCGTATAACAAAGGTATGTATCTTGTTTGCTCACTGGTTGCCGCCGCATTCCCAGATACTCTGGATGCTCTTGATGAATGCATACCTATTCCACGCTTCACGCTTGAGAGAGACTTTGTGGGATTTGAACTGCAGGATAGCGACTATAAAAGGTATTGGGATGGATTCATCGAAGGGCAACAAGTGAAGAGGACTTCACGAGCATATAGGAGCGATAGAATCGAGAAATTCAAGGCGGACTTCACATGGCATTATTCAGATTTTGCACAATGTAAAGGTGAAAGTATCGACATCCCAGCTGTGAAAGTGTACAAGGAGGGTCTCACAAATTTGATAAAGACCCCGGGGGATAACGATCAATCTGCACAGAGCAACACGGGAGGTTCCTTTCTATCCTGGTTCGGCTATTAAGTACGCATTCAAAATATTAAACGGACAAACCCGTCAAATTCATGTATTTGTGGTGTAGTGATATAAATAGTTTATAAATTAACTTTTACTCTAAATTGAGTCTTATTACGCGAGGTAAATTTGATCGTGTTTCACTCGTCAGTTCACAAATAAGATATATGGCGTGGCAGATACAAAATGCTTAAAAATAAGATATACATTCAGATATCCGCATCAATAGTGTCCATATACAGTTATATATCGAATGTATATATATATATATATATATATATATATATATATATAGTATGTATATATATATATATATACTATATATATATAATATATCTGTATATATATATATATATATATATATATATATATATACATATACATACATACATACATACATACATGCATGCATACACACACACACACACACACACAGATATATATATTAATAATATGGTTATATACATAATATATATGTATATAGATATATAATGTGAGCACCAAATTTAGTTCACGAGCGGTTTAGAGTGAAATAGCGTTGTATTTTATTTTATCAAAGTAGTGGAATAGCTTACAAGATTATGAGGACTGATCACTCCATAACCTTGTCTTATTTGGTCTTAACTAGATATTGCCTATAGTCAGTCCCCTCTGGTTACTGACACAATATCTCTTTGTATCCCAAGTGCCCGGCTTCCTCTGCAGTCCGTCACTTGTCACACTACTTTACTCTTCTCGTTACTTTACCGTCTATGCTCTTGTTCTATTGGTATACACATACCGAATTACTCGTATGTGTTAAAACAATATCACTACACACAGCACTGGGATATCTCCCCAAAACTAACCCCTCCCACACCTGAGTCATCAAACATGACTAACCACTACACGTAGACCACACACATGTTACAATATATATATACATTATATCATATATACATATATATAACTATATATATATATAAATTTTCATATATATATACGTGTGTATATGTTTATGTCTAAATATATATAAATATATATACATATACATATATATATCTATATATATATGTGTGTGTTATATATAAATATACATATATATATAACTACACATATATATATATATATATATATATATATATATACATAGTATATATATATATATATACCTCTACAACTCACTGTAATTTGAGGCTTAAAATTATTCTGCTTCCAAAATAGCGTGCTTAAAAGAGCCGCATATTTCAAAAGAGACCAGCCGACCTCATTGTTCGTCCAAGGCATTTGCTCTAGCAGAAATTTGATGCACGATGTTGAGTGCTACTACTTATATATGTGTCTAGAATTGCTTGCTTACATAATTTCCTATTGTGAAAAACGAAGTCATATGTGTACATATGCATTAAATCAGTACAGATTCGACTACGTGAACGTCCTATAGTTTCAAGACATTGCTCTAACCTCATCGAAGCGTATCTCGGCAAGCTTTTGAGAACATTGCGAATGGTCCTGGCTGACGCTCAGATTTGATTGTAAGCCAAGAGTGCCTGGCCACTGGATTAATGGCCGTTTGCATCAGTGCTTCTCGCTTGCCTTGGAATAGAGAGTATGAAACATCAGTTCTTAAGCATAGCTCTCGAGTCTACGAGTAACCAGGCATTTACTTCTTGTCCAGAAGACATCATGTCTCATTCTCCACTGCCGCAGAATTATCCTCCTCACTCCGGTTCCTAATGTTAAGAATAGTCGTATCTACCAGCTCATCCGTGTCCACTCCCATCTGCGTGCACATCTCCACCACTCGTGCAACGCGTTCCAGGGCAGCATCCCCTGTCTGCTCTCCCGCTCCGCCAATCAGTAGCTCGTTTACAAGCCGCGTGTTCACATTATACCTACCATCGACGGGATTTACCTGTTTCGATACATCGGTCTTCATGCTTTTTGACTTACTGACGCTACCATGTTTTTGCGTGCTTGATTCCTTTCCCTTTGATTTGTTTGCGCCAGCCTTGGATGTACCGGTTGCGGATGTCGGCTTGTTTCTTGTGATGAACGCTTTGGTGAGGGATAAGGCCGCGTCAAATAGATCTGTGTATTGCATAGGGGATATGAGGTTACTAATGCATCGCTATATGGAAGTGGGTGTGGAGAGACACACCTATAGATACTTAGCATCAGAACGATCGTATTTGTTGTCGAACACAATAGGTGTAACAATTCGGAAGGGATAAAGTATAATCACGGGCAGGGATCCAAAGCAATCAAAGAATGTTTACCATCACGAAGTAAATCGTGTATTATGATAAACTGCCACGTGTGCAATAACTAGTGCATGTTTTGATTTGGATATAACTCGCACGTATTGCTGAGTCGCATTCTGACCTTAGCACGTGTATCGATTGACTACGAGACCATTTTGGCTCGAAATCAAAGTAACGAAGGCGGCGTGAGTGTATTTGTACAAAATCCGACATCTGTTGATGACACAAGTAGCGAGCGAGAAGCAATCCGCTGCTTATATCATTATACTAACATTCAGAACTTCACATACTATTGTTCAGATAGGCGCCGATGAGCGCACTTTGGATTTCGTGATCAACCACTTCCACAGACGCCCTTACATTCGTTGAGTACCTGAGATTATTTCAGGACATTGGTAGGGCACAAAGGCGTTGGTTAGTTTTCGATCTCTGCGACTACATTTTTTTACCCAACAAATCATCTTCGTGCTACCTCTGTACTCACTGCTTGTCATGTGTTCAGATTGCAGCCACGAGCGCAAGGAGTGTGGATTCAGACATACATGAACTTAACCCAGCAAACCCTATCTCCTTCAGGAAACGGACCACATCACTGACCTTGACACTAACTCCATCCTTCCGTCGGCACTTGTCAGATTGAACATCACCCATACCATAACTCAAGCACCTCGCCACCCCACTCATTGGAACCCCCACTATTCAGATGTACAGTACATTGATGCCACCCAGCAAGCCCATCGCCTTCAAGAAACAAACCACATAACTGATCCCAGCACTCAGTCTGTTGTTCATTCTCAGTTGACAGTCTTAGAAACCAACGTACACATACACATTTATCATCTACCCCGAAACCACATATAATACATGCTTCAACACTCACCTGTCCAAGACATTGATGTCACCCAACAAACCCATCGCCTTCAAGAAACAAACCGCATCACTGACCCCGGCACCCACTCCATCCTCCTCAGCCAACAGAGGTGTAAAGTCTGAGCGAAGTAGGCGCCTTCTGCGTGGGTGCGTGGTCCCTGAATCCTCGTCACCATGAAGTGCCCCATCGTCCTTGACTAGAGGTGCTGTATCTATGTCGCCCAGTGCCGCTGCGTTTTCATCGGTCCACACGCTTGGATCTGTGCCATCGGGAAGTGCATGTTCTTTGTCATCACGGTTCTGAGAGTGTATACGGCTATGAGATACTGGATCTATCTTTTCGACGAATCCTGGGTGTGCATTCTTCACGAACGCCGCCTCCGTCTCCCGCTGCGCGTCAGCCTGTGATTGCGGATATGCGCGGATCTGCGAGCGTACAAGCTGTAGCAAACGCCACTTGGACATCACGCCCGCTTGCTCACCGGCGTGTGCGTGGTGGACCACCATCCGCTGCACAGTGGAGGGCCTGAATGATGGTGCACGAAGTGAGGTGCGACAAAGGATATTGTTAGCTACATGATACCAATAGAGTCAAGATGAAAGACATGGTTTGTACTAGAACGAACACTTGCACTTGAGTTGAGTAGTAAACGCCGCTTGTACTCCGCACCCGCGTGTTTACCGGTGGATCATCCGAATATATACATACATACATACACACATACATATATATATATATAATAATACAATAATACAGTAATACAATAATACAATAATACAGTAATACAATAAAACAATAATAATATATAATAAAAATATATATATATATACGACGAGAGGCTAAACAACAAATATTAATAGCTAAAAAGCACCCATGATGAGTGACAATAATGAACATAGATATCTACTACTACGAAGACTGCGTAGCAGGCGTCCCTGTACCTCACACCCTTGTAACCGGCGAGTGCGGTGGTGATTGGTTTGAAGAACGGAATGAATAATTAGTAATCACGTTTATGGATCCTACTAACTTCGCTCATATGAATGTTTTAGCTAAGGCAATGAAGAATGTTATTTCAGATTTGATCAGAATCTATTTGAATCTACTGCAATTTCTGCGACGCAGAGACATTCACCGTACGGGTGTATAGTGTTAGTGTACGTTACTATGAAGGAAAATGGCATACTAGAGATGTGGCTGTATCGCGTTAGTAAAAAAATGCGGCACAGTAACGCCACATTGTGGAATATTATAACAGATGCTCCGCAAACACGCATCCAACGCTCGATGTGTTTCAGTCATCCTTCCCATGTGCCCTGAAAAATCCTTATTCAGCACATCAGCACAGGCGCGTCAACGGTACTCAGCATAAATGTATATGAAGATTACTCTCCAAACACGACTAGAAACATCCATAGCGTACGTTTCATTAAATACTATAATCCCAGTACCAACACACCATATGCACGTCCTGTCAAACGCCGGTTTGAGTCGGGCTCGGTACGCCCAGGAATCTCTCCCCAACTCCACCCCTCTCGCCATGATCATGTTCATGGACTCCCCGCCTGCGCACAAGTGTTTGGATAAGGGTGAGATACATAACACGTCAGCGTGGCATAGGAGGGTGCAAGTTGGTGTCAACTACAGAACTACATTTTTTTGCAGAAAGTTAGCGTGACTCATGTCAGTATGATACAGAGAGACTGAGACGACACCCAATACAAACCCTTTAATAAAACTATTTAGACTATGGCAACCTATTGAATATGACAGCAAAACGAACAGAAACAATCAGTGATACGCATCCGTTCGCACAAGAGGGTGGGATGGTCTCGAGTGCGAGCACGAACATCTGCGAGGCAAGCCGAATTTCTTTGTCTATGGCGTGGTATTAACTTTGGTGCACGCGAGGGTGATATTAAGATACATGAAAACCAGGTATACCGAATGTAACTAATGGTCTATATATCATTATATGGCTGAACATTGTACAAAGTGATTGCAAAGTAAAAATTCTGAACTCTAAACATGCGACATTTATATCTTGAAGCGTACGAGTGTATATGTCTTGAATTGCGTATGTTCGTGCTCGTAAAAATGAGCCCCACGCCAGCACCAAACACTTGCCCATCGTTCGATTAAACCTACACAACCTACCGTCTAAATTCGTTCTTCGTCTCAAGACCATATCCAGAGTAGTATATGCGGTGTATAGTGCGGCTTGTGGGTTATAGAAGGACCAATTGAGTATGTACATCGTCAGGTATTCCAAATTCCCGTTAGTGTAGACGCCCAATCCCAAGATTTTGGTGGCGAAGTTCAAGTCCTTCCCATTTTGGCATTCTAACGAAGCAAGCGAGGCAAGGAGCCCAAAGACGAAATTAAAGTAGTTTGTGCATATTTGAGCATCCAGACAAACGTATAGGTGGACGTGTAGAGAAATACGGCCAGAAGACACCGAAGAGTCAGATAAAGGATGCAGGAAGGTACTTGTTGTACCAGAATTAGTACAGGTCTGGGCCGATGTGGAGAGGCATGCTACGTCTCACGCCGAACAAATTAAGTAATCGCAGTAGAGAGAATCAACATGAACATGAGCTCTAGTTATCGCCAGACGTCGACTACCATTACACTTGAAATCTTCTATCGCAACAGCTAAGACATACGAGAACGCCCAGTTTGAAGCTTTTCATAAACGACACTAAATGTGTACCCAATGATCGCAAACGGGAAGATGCATAAGAAAGCGAGAGATGGTAACTCAAATTCAGCCCATATGCTATAAACATGATCTCCCATGATATAAACATAAATCTAACCCATGATTTCAACATAAATTCAACCCATAATTTCAACATACTGTTTAGAAGCAACTGCAGACTGTTCGTGTCTGCATAATGAGCACCGATAGTCTGGAGCAATGACGGCAGGATGGTGTCGAAATTATTCGCCAGAAGTCCGTCTGTGGGGTTAAATTTTAAGCGTGCTTGAGAATAAGACGCAATATAAATATACCGTCATGCGATAATGGTTGAACACGAAAAATGATTTGCTTAATCGTGACTCCGAAAGACCATTTGAAAAGGGCACCTAGAACGAATGTCGCAAAATACGAGGCACTCTTCAGTAAAAACCAGGCAGTTATCTTGAACGCGGTTTTGTGATACAAGGGGCCGTAAGAACTATTCGACAATGGCCGATGTTGATGACGCTATACACTGACTAGCACTGTACGATTGGTTTAAAAGCGGCTTCCGTGTGTATTGCAGCTGTATGTGTATTTTCGAATTATACGGACGCATCTATACAAGCTATCGTAACACTACCACACTATTGATATATATAATAGTACATGCATATTCTGGGGGTATTTCTGTTCCAATCCGTCGTATTGTTGTTTATGTGTGTGTTATTACCCCACTAAAGTTCATACCGGAGGATTCTCTCAGAAAGCCTTCTATTACGGAGTTCAGCATAGTTGTGTTGAAACTTCCTCCTAATTGTTCCACCATGTTCATCGAGTTCAAAATCCCCTCGCGATCACCCCGGCTGCTATAGTAATGGATGATGGGCTCGAAACAGCAGCTGGTTATATAATGATTCGTCCTGTACAAATCTGCCAACACCTGTGATAATAGACGAAATGGGAGCTTATAGGCCTGTTTAGAGACGAACCTTTCGAGTACATTTCTCATTGACGAACTGGAAGCAAACGGTAGCCAGAGCACAGGATACATGACTACAATCGTGCTGTGTCGTCTGCTTCCAGTTGGGTATTCCGAGGATTGTCCATATCATATGAAAGCCAATATCACCGCATATTCATGTCCCTGACTCCGCGTGACATACAAAGAACACCCAAACACACAGTACTAAACACAGTACAACACACACCTGCAAGGCCTCCGCCTGCTCATCCCGGGCCAACAAGCCCCTTATATGCTCAGCATACGGTATAAACCGCGACTGCCGTACGCTACCCAGAGTGCCCATCTCTTGCTTGCTACACTTGGCCAGCACTTGTTGCGCCAGGTCTGACCGCGAGTGGGTCTCACACTCGCGCACCACTGTGGCCAAGCGATCGTCCCATGTCTGCAGGAAACTACTGTCGCCCGCACTGCTCTTGCGGTCCATCTGTTGGGTGTGACGTGTAATGGAAACAGCTCGTTATTAGACTGAATATGACGCAGAAAATGTATACGCTAGGCGTTGCGCAAGGCACAGGAAGGGACAGATGAATTGGCAGATGAATAGCTTGTTGGTTGGCTAAGTGTGAAGTTGATGATGTGCACACCCAATTTTGTGCTAGAAACAGAGGGAGCAGGCTAGTGCTAGGCTGCATTGAAGGTTATCAGATGATATAGACACACAGCCACGTGTACGAACTCGAGGGGATACGTAAACAACCGCCATTAGGCACTGAGACTTAATATACGATGTGAAATACGAACGTGCCAAACCCAACTGTAGTAGGTTTTTGCTAACATTCTACGTCCACAGAATAGAAAGTATGTGAATAACGGAGGAATCGGTTACATGCCAATTCTCGTCGACCTTCAATATAAAGAGTTGCTTGGTGGTCGATAAAATACAATGTAACATCTCGCAGCACATCTGTATCGCACTCTCCATTTTCGTGCAGGGAGCTATTGAGCATTGATTTTAAATATGATCTATAGCGAGTGCTTGCGATCAGGGTGGTGTGACAGGGTCTATGGCCTGTATTCATCGTAGGTCATGACACTGAGACTACATACCGCCACAGTGAATACAAGTGAGACACCCTCACCTTCACCGAATCAAAACTTGAATACATAATTTCGCTACAAGTGTACAAACAATCCCTTTTCATCTACGCTCAGAACTCACAATATATATAACTGTACTTCGTTGCCGCTCAAATACAGTGTCATAAAGCGTCTACCATACTACTTACAATTAAGCTGTTCGTGACAGAGTCTACAACAGTTGCAGCTTTGGCACGGTCTCTCCCCTTCAGCACTGGCGAGAGCACCTGCTCGATCTCCTTCGTACTCGTGAGCTTTGCTTTCTGTATGATAAGAGAGTCCATACATGAGTACCTATAGCCCATTTATGCGTATATATTAAATGAAGCAAATACAAATGTACAAACAATTATCTATTCATACGAAGTAAGGGATTCAGTAGGCCCGTTTCGATATTTTTCCAATCGCACGAGGAGACGGGGGTATTTGAGAAACGCATCACTATCTACAATTTGGTGTACCCGACAAGCTCTGGGTTGTCAAGATACACAGTGCACGTGAGCTGCATTGATCTGTTTTGATGACCATTACAAGATTACAAGAAAATATCTATACATGGGTGTATACTTTGCGTTTTCGAAAGAAATACGTAAAAATACTAGCAAATATAAACATAAGATGATCTACCTTATATTCGATAACTATGCAGTAAACACTAACGGATCACTGACACGAATAGACCTTATACATACATCGAGTTCACTATTTTCATAGCAAAACAAACACAGGAGTTTTGGAATATGCAGAGCATAACATTTTTTTTCATTCAGGGCCGATGTACAGAATAAATAATCACGAGCGCTTACAAATCAGGAACTACGCGATTGTGCTCTGAACAATCAACCGAACATGAACAAAAGAAACATACGAGGTATTCTGTGTATAGAAGTGCCAAAAGTATATACAATCTATGCGCTACCCACGTGCTCACGAAAGT